AAAATCCTTTGGGGCTGGGGAGATGGCTCAGTAGAATAAGTGCTTCCCTGGCAAGCGCAAGGGTCTGAGTTCAATTCCAGGTTCCACCAAAAAAAAAAAAAAAAAAAAAGTACAAACACACAGCCCTCAAGACAGATGCAGTTGGACTCCAGGCAGGGCTCTGACATCCATACACAGAGAGAGTGTCTTGAGGGGCTGGGGACCACTGTATCTCAATGAACTTGGCCCTATGGCTGTGCTCTCATGGAATTCTCACTGACTCCTCCTCCTCCAGTACTAGAGATTGAACCCAGAGTTTCAAGTCTGCTAGAATCTACCACTGAGCTACATCCTCAGGCCTTTTTTTTTTTTTTTTTAAGACAGGGTCTCATTGTGTAGTATAAGCTGGTCTTGGGTTCACTATGCAGCTCAGGTTGGCCTCAAATTTGTAGTGATTCTCCTGTCTTAGTCTCCTGAGTGCTGAGACTTCAGGTGTGTGCCACTGCACCTAGCTTTTCTATTCTATTTTGATACATACTCTTACTGAGTAGCTCAGACTGGCCTCAAGCATGTGATCCTCTAGCCTCAGCAGCCTGAGTATCTGGAATTATAGGCATGCCTTTCAGAGTGATTTTTTGGTTTTTAAGCCCCACTACACATCTCATTATGTAGTTCAGGCTGGCCTTGAACTCACTATACAGTCCAGGCTAACCTTGAATCACTAATGATCCTTTTGCTTCAGCCTCCCATATGTTGATATTATAAGTATGAGCTACCACACCTGGCTTTCAGATTGATTATTTATTTTATGGAACCAGGGATTGAACTCAGGCCCTTGCACTTGCCAGGGAAGCACTTATTCTACTGAGCCATCTAAGATTCTGTCATATGAGTAGATTCTAATCCAGTTTTTTTCAGTATCAGTGATCAAACTTGGGACCTTGTGCTTGCCAGGCAAGCTCTTGTGCTGCTGAGCTATAACCCCAGCCCAGCAGATTCTAATCCATTTTAGTGCTAGATGACTAATAATAACAGCTTCCACTAGTTAGCTTACTAAAATGTCAGACACTTTTTACCATTTATTAGAAAATGCCAAACAACCTTATAAGGTAATATCAATTGCAAAACTTTGTAGCATTTATTGTGTGAAGGCACAATTCCTTTTTTTTCTTTTTTTGGTACCAGGGATCAAACTCAGGACCTTACACCTATGAGGCAGGCACTTATGTCACTGAGCTATCGCCCCAGCCCTAGGGCACAGTTTCTAAAGTACTTTATTCATATCAACTCCCTTAATTCTCATAATCCTGTAATTAGATTTTTTTTTTTCTTGCTTTATAGATAGGAAACTAAGACCACTTTGAGGTTGGGAATTTGCCTAAAGTCATTCAGCTTGTTAGTGAGCAGGGATTTGAACCCAAAAAGCCACTGAATCTATGCCTCTCTAGTTACATGACCCATGTGGGAGAAAGATGGAATCTCCTCCAGGGGATGAGCTCAAGGAGGAGAATGGCTATGGTTGGACAAGTGTGCCCATGTCTGGACCCACAGAGCCCTCTGCCTCCTGCTGGAAGAAGGGGCAGACTCCCTGGGGTACATGGCTCGGCACCTCACCTGCTTATAGATAAGCTCGAAGGCTCCTGTGTCACAGTTTCGATCCAGCCTGCGGTCGATGACCACACGCAGAGTGTCGGCCTGCACCCCGGCACAGAGCCTCGCAGTGACAGGCGTGGAGGGTGCCATGGTGGGGCTGGCATTGATCTCGATCAGCCAGGGCTGGAAATCCTCACCAAATACAAAATCAGCACCATAGAGCTCAAAACTGGCCTTCCGGTCCTGCACAGTGTCCTGGGAGCTCTGCAGCGCGTGGATCACTGCAGCCTTCATGCCTGGCACGATGACAGTGGACCATGCATTCGGGGCGCCTGTCTCCCGAAGGTGGGCCTGGAACTTCTGGCTGGACCACATGTTGTCTGGTGGCAGCATGGGGTGCCGGTGGCACGAGTTCTCTAGGTGCTTCTGGATAGAATTGTTGCACAGGTGTACGGAGCTGGGCAGAGAAGAGAGCGGGGTCTATTCTGCTGGGAAGATGGCAGGACGGAGCCCTGGCCCCATACCTTCTCCCCAGCCAGGGACAGAATTCACTCCCAGGCCCACACTGAGATTCCAACAAGGAGGCCATGGCACGGAGAGTTTCAGGCCTGGCTTGGGGAACTGGCCAGGGCCTATGGGTAAGAAGGGGCATCTGACAGTGGGGACAACAGGACCACCTCATTAGATTTTCATGAAAAATGACTGGGATATACAAAAAGTACTTGGTATCCATCATCTATGATCCACTTGAATATGGAGAGCTAGTTTTTCTTTTCTTTTAAGTATGGTAAAATAAACCCATGGCCTTTTCACAGAGCTACAACCTTAGGCCCTTTATAAGGTTTTTTGTTTGTTTGTTTATTTTTTTCAGTACCAGGGACTGAACTCAGGCCCTTGAGCTTGCCAGGCAAGCGCTTATTCTACTGAGCTATCTCCCAAGGCAGTTTTTACTGTTTTGTTTTATTTACTTTTTGTGAGACAGGGTCTCACTAGTTCTGTCTAGCCTTAAACTCACTGTGCAGCCTAGGCTGGCTTTGAACTCTGTTAGCCTCCTGCCTCCACCTCTTGAGTGCTGGGATTACAGGCATGCACCAAGACACAGTTATATATTATTTTTAATACTGAGACAAGGTCTTGCCGAGTCACTAAATTGCAGAGGTTGAGCAGCAACTTGTGGTCCTCTATCAGCCTCCTACGTGCTAGTACTAAAGTCCTGCATCACCACACCTGACTACATGGTTACAATGATATTTTTTTCTTCTTTCTGGCAGTACTAGGGCCTAATGCATGCTAGGCAAATGCTACACCACCGAGCCACATTCCCGGCAGTGCTCCACCCACTTTTATTTTGAGACAGGGCTTTGCTAAATTGCCCAGACTGTCCTCAAATTTGCCATCCCAGTCTCAGCCTCCCAGGTAGCTGGGATTACAGGCATGTGCCACCATGCTGGCCAATTATGAATTCACATTGATGCCTCCATTCTTCAGCTGTGGAAACCAAGGCCTAAATGGGTTTTCACTTAACTAAAAGGCTTATAGCCTGGAAGCTTGCTTGCTTGCTTGCTTGCTTGCTTTCTTTCTTTCTTTCTTTCTTTCTTTCTTTCTTTCTTTCTTTTTTCTTTTTTTCAGAACTGGGGATTGAACTCAGGCCCTTGTGCTTAACAGGGAAGTGCTTATTCTACTGAGCCATCTCCCCGGCCCCTTTCCAGAGTATCTGAGCCTGGCCTGGCCCATAACAAAGCTTCCTCTCACCCGCAAAGTTAACCCCTCTGTTGCTCCTCTTCTCTCAGATCTCTCTTGGCCTGCCTTTACCAGCTCTCCACTTTTCTTTTTATACATGTCACCTTTGCCCATGACATCACTGTGTTTGCTATGTTCTTCACTTGGGCATGTCTCCCTGCTGGAACATGTGTTTGGAGCACTGGTATCCCATCTTGTTGGCCACATACCCTAAGTTCCTAGGACAGCTTGAGGCCCAGGTCCCACTCTCAAGGAGTTCCTGCTCTGTGTGGAGGTGAGAAGGTTGCCTGTCACACTTTGCGAGGAGCTGCATGGCTACAGGACCACAGCGTTAACCAAACCTGGGGGCTCTGGGAAGTCCCACAGTGGGGCTCACTTGTCCAGGTTCTTCAGGGAGAAGGGCTGAGTGGAGAAGCGGATGTAGCTGTCTCGATAGAACCACACAGTGAGTGGATTCCAGTCTGTCACCAGGAACCACTGTCTCAGGTCAAACTTGGTGCCGAAGATGAGCAGGGGCCGCTCGATGTACTTCTGTACAACCCACTTGCCGTCCTTCATCATCATGGGGTTGCAGTCCACCAGCTTCAGCATCTCCTCTAGGTGGTCCATACACACAATGCCTGTGTGGAGAGGGCAGTCAGGCTGGCTGCGGTGTGGGGCTGGGCCAGGGCCATGTCCTCCACCCCCAGGGCACTGGGACATTGGCCTGGCAAGAGACCAGTTCCCTCGTAAAAGCTGAGAAGCTGTTGAGGTTTTCAGTACTTTCCTAGTTAACCATTTTTGGTTTTGTTTTGCCCACAGCCCACAATTGTTTCTGTTTGAAAAAGAACATGATATGCTGCGTGTGGTGGTGCACCCCTGTGGCTGACGCACTTGGGAGGCTGGGGCAGGAGGATCACTGTGAGTTTGAGGTCAGTGTGGGCTACAAAGTGAGTTCAAGACCAGCCTGAACTGCATAGTGAAACTTTGTCTCAAAAAGAAAATAGTAATAATATACACTTACATAAAAATTTAAATAGTACTGGCCTTTTTGTGGAAATATGGTGTTAACCCAATAACTAAAGAATTTTTTTTTTTTTTTTCCAGAACCGGGGATTGAACTCAGGCCTTTGTGCTTGCCAGGCAAGCCCTTATTCTACTGAGCCATCTCCCCAGCCCCAAACTAAAGAATCATGAAGCAAAAAAAAAAGTCAGGCAAAAGGGCATAGGACAGGAGTAGATCTCCCATGGTTCTCCCCCCCGGCTCGGGTCCTTCCGCCACAGCAGCCGTTGAAAAAGAGTAGCCATGGCCCTCGGCTATCCCATGGCCGTGGGCCTCAACAAGGGCCACGAGGTGACTAAGAACGTGAGCAAACCGAGGCACAGCCGCCGCCGCGGACATCTCACCAAACACACCAAGTTCGTGTGGGACATGATCCGGGAGGTGTGCGGCTTCGCCCCCTACGAAAGGCGCGCCATGGAGCTGCTCAAGGTCTCCAAGGACAAGCGCGCCCTCAAGTTCATCAAGAAAAGGGTGGGGACGCACATCCGCGCCAAGAGGAAGTGTGAGGAGCTGAGCAACGTGCTGGCCACCATGAGGAAGGCAGCTGCCAAGAAGGACTGAGCCCCTCCGGAATAAAGCTTTGAAAAAAAAAAAAAAAAAAAAAAGGGCATAGGACACAGCAAAACGAACACACCAAATCAAACCCAGCACAAAACACCGGTACCTCATCTCTAAAGGCCAAGCACGACTATCCAGACACTGCTGGGTGTCTTTCCAGGCCACGTGAGCGTAAACCAAGCCTGCTTCTCTGAAGTATACAAAGGAAAGCAGGTCGAGGACCTGGACTAGGGCTTGGCACGTGGCCACATCCAGTGACACTCACGTCCTTCACACCAGCCAGCTGCACAGTACATTTCCAGCCATGAGGCTGTCAGGTGCAAGGGCATCTGCATTCTCTGTTTTACACCAACAAAGTTTTCCTGTCACTTCCAGGCCCAGCAAGAACGTATGGGAGATTGTATGTCCGTGCCAAGACCACCCAAACACCTGACTCTTGATCTGGGTCATTCTCCTGCCCAGAAAATGAAATTTTATTTGTTTATGGACAGAGTCTTGGTATGTTGCCCAGGCTGGTTTTGAACTTTTAGACTCAAATGATCCTCCTGCCTCAGCCTCCCACATGGCCTAGAACTACAGGAGTGTGCCATGATCTCTTCTTCTGTTTTGATGTCAAAGATCGAACCTAGGGCCTTCCACACGCTAAACACTAAACTATCACTGAGCTATACCCCTTAGCCCATTATGTATTCATTTTGGGGGTACTCCATTGCTTCATCTTTTATATGAGTGAAATTAAGCATCTTATTCCTACAAGACATAATTTTGTTTTTTTCATTTTTCAAGATCACTTTATAGCTGGCCTCAAACTCATGGTAACCCTCCTGCCACAACCTCCCAAGTGGGCTTGCAGGTGTGCGCCGCCACATCCAATTTAAGGCATTATTTGAATGCTGATAAAATCCAAATCATGAGCTGGGCATGATGGCGCACACCTGTAATACAGCACTTGGGAGGCTGAGGCAGAAGGATCGCTTCAAGTTTGAGGCCAGCCTAGGCTACAAAGTAAGTCCAAGGCCAGCCTGAACTGAATAGTGAGACCCTGTCTCAAAAAACAAAAAGCAAAGGGCCAGGGATATAGCTCAGTAGAATAAGTGCTTGCCTGGCAAGTGCAGGATCCCGAGTTCAATCCCCGGTACCGAAAAAAAAAAATCTGAATCATGTTACCAAGAACATGCAACACGCACAAATCCACATCATTCCTTCACTCTCCTAGCCCTGTCAGCCTGACAACTACAGGTGGCACAGAAAATCCTACCACTACCAAAGCAGGGCCCCCTTCTCAGAGGGCCAGCCTGATCAGTTCCCAGCAGTGTGATACCTTTATTCTGGCCCATTTTGGATTGTTTTTTTTTCTTTTTTGTGGTGACAGGGATTGAACCCAAGACTGTCACAATAAGCTACACCTTCAGCCACTTCTATTTTTTTATTTTGTCACAGTGAATCATTAAGTTGCCCAGGATGGCCTCGAACTTATGATCCTCCTGCCTCAGCCTTGTAACTGGGGTCACAGGCTCGGGTTACCATGCCCAGCAAACATGATGCTTTATGTAAGAAGAGTAAGACTGAAATAGAAGCTGGGACTGTAGCTCATGTGCTTATGTGTTTAAGGCCCAGCACACATACACACAAAGGCTGTCCATGCTCACAGACACAGAAATTACATTTTCTTCAGGAAAGTACTCTAAAGAAATAAGTGGGAAGGGCTAGGAATCTATGTGCACAGTATGTTCATCACAGCATCACTGGTAATAGCAATCAGTTAACAAAACCAAACCCTGAAGCGTACAGAGTCCACCATGGGAGGCTAGTATCCTCCACGCTGCATCCAGGCTGGATTTGAACGGAATGAGCAAGGCAGTGTACTGCGCAGTGCACAGAGCCCAGGGACAGGCGCATGGTGCAGGCCTGGCAGTACAGGCTGGGTCAGCAGCACAGGAAGCAGGGGTGCAACAGGCCCAGGCTCGGATCCGCAGGTGGCACTGCACTGCCTGCCTCTGGGAGTCACAGGTCTGCTCACCGCAACAACTTGCTTGCTGTGTGCTCATGCATATGCCCTTTCAACAGAGCCTGCCATGCATATGCTTCGATAAGGTTTTTTTAAACAGAGGTAAAATGTTAAAACTCACTTCTACCTACAAGGGGAGCCAATGTGTTATTTTTCTTCTATGTACAAACACACCATAGTGCCAGATACTTGAGAAGCTGAGGCATGAGGATCACTTGAATGCATGGAGGAGTATTTTTTTTTTTTTTCTTTTGGCAGAACCAGGAATTGAACTCAGGCCCTTGTGCTTGCCAGGGAAGCGCTTATTCCACTGAGCCATCTCCCCAGCCCCATACATGCAGGAGTTTAAGGCCAGCCTAGACACAGAGTGAGACCCTGTCTCAAAAACTTAAATAAATAAAATCAGATGCCCTTGAAAAAATAACTTTAAGTTAAAAAAAAAAATCGGATACATTGAAGTATGTCTAATGACTATTGCAAGAAGGAAGGCAAGCCAGGCATTGTGGTGCATGCCCATAATCACAGTACTCAGGAGAGACTGAGGCAGGAAGATCACTGAGTTTGAGATCAGCCTAGGATACAAAGGAAGCTCAAGGCCAGCCTGAACCACATGGCGAGACTGTCTCAAAAAGACAAAAAAAAAAAAAAAAAAGAGGAGGAGGAGGGAGGAAGGCAGCCAGGTGTGGTGGTACGCGCTTGTAACCCAGTTCCAAGGGTGACAGGGGTTGGTCAATGCCAGCCTGGACAGTGGTAAATACTGAGACCCCAGCTCAAGAAAATAAGTGCAAAATTGAAATAAGTTTTAATATTAATTGATAGAGATATAACTGAAATAAGAGGCTACAGGATAGTGTTGTGTTTACAATAAAACACACATGCGCACGCACACACACACACACACACACACACACCACATACACATACCCAAATGCACAGGAAAAAACATAGAAACACACTAAGTTGGAAGTGGCAATGTATGCCTATAATCCTCCAGCTCTGGACGCTGAGACAGGAGAATCAAGAATTGAGACCAGAGAATCAAGAATTGAGACCCAGGCCGGGGAGATGGCTCAGTAGAATAAGCACTTGCCTGGACTGAGTTCACGTCTCAGTTCTGCAAAATAAAAAAAAAAAAAAAAAAGAAAAGAAAGAATTGAGGCCACCCTGGACTACAAAATAAGATCATTTCAAAGAAAAGCACCAAAAAAGGAAAGAAAAGAAACACAGCTGAGGGCTAACAGTAGTTATCTATCAGTGAAATCAAAAAGGCTTCTGTTTGGGGCCGGGGAGATGGCTCAGTAGGATAAGCGCTTGACTGGCAAACATCAAGGATCTGAGTTCAATCCCCAGTTCCACAAAAAAAAAAGAAGAAGAAGGCTTTTGTTTGCTTGTTTCTACACTTTTGTGTATTTGTCTTTTTAAAATACAATAACCACATTTTTTTTTGCATATTTTTATACTTGGGGAAAAAAACAATACAAGGTAGAAAACAAAAACAATGCTGGTTTGGCTTGTTTTTATATTTGGGGGGTGTGTGTGTGTGGTTGTTGTTTGAGACAGGTCTTGCTATCTAGCTCAGCTGACCTTGAGTTTGTGATGCTCCTGCCTCAGCCTCCCAAGTGGTGTGGTGGCTCTGTGTCCTGCATGGAGCAGGAGGAGCGGCAGCTGGAAGAATGAACTAAGAGGTAGCAGAGCAGAGCGTGAACTCAGCCAGCGCTAAACCCCACAGGACGTGCAGCAATGTTTATTTTTTATTTTTTATTTTTTTTTAAATATTTATTTATTTATTTATTTTGTGTTTGTGTGGCCAGCTCAGCCCACCAGGGGGCGGGGCTGGCTGGCATGTGGTGCTGGGGGATTGAACTGTGGTCCCTGTGCTTGCCTAATAAGAGGCTACAGGATAG